CGTGCGGCCTTCATCCAACCATTCCTTCACAGTGAAACTGCAACAGTGCTTATGACCTTTCTTCAGCTTTCCTTTGCTTTACAGACCTGCGAAGGTCATAAATGTGAGGATTGCTTGTAAAGTTACTTTTTCATCACCGTTGTAACTGTGAATGGTCACTAAACAAGGCAGTCACTAAACAAGGACTACCTATAATGTAAAGGAAAGCTGAAGAAAGATCATAAGCACTGTCGTGGTTTCACTTAGCAACCACTTCACTTAACAACCAAGTTGCCGGTCCCAATTGGTGGCTAAATGAGGACTACCCATATAAATGCAACAGTTTAGGTCCTGAATTGCTGCTGTGTATAAAGTGAATGCAGCCAATATGTACCTACTTACTTACTGGTGAGGCCTGTTCTTCCATTCCAAAGTTGTTTTTTTTATTTTATTTATTTTATTTATTTAACTTGTCCCTGCCCATCTCCCCACAATGGGGGACTCTGGGCGGCTCATGGGGGACTCTGGGCGGTTTCCATGGTGCATTCCTTCCTCCATGGATGTAGTTTGGCATTATTCAGATACTGCCTCTCTTCCCAAAGCCTTGGAGCTGCTCTGAGGATCTCATCACTAGCCATGCTCCCAGTTCCTCAAGAGCTTCTGCTTCCCCAGCTCATCTTCCCCATATGCACATCTGGCTTCCCCGTATCCAGTCTGTGACTGACCACACTCATAGCACGTTGTGTTTCTCCCCAGCTTTCACTGCCACCTGTATCCGTATCCTGAGAGTGAGGCTGGGCGCACAGAGACCTTGCGTGGGCTGCGCACTCAAGTGGAAGATCTGACCATAGTAAGGCAGTAAGGATGCTCTGTAAGATTGGGGCAGAGGAAGTGTGCAGGAGGCTGTGGTGGATCCAGTACTTTTATTTCCAGGGACAGAAAGATGATTACTTGAGTGGTGTAGTAATGGCAAATTCTACATAAATATTGCCACTTCAATCTTTCCCTTAAGATGGAATCAGCAACTTTTTTCAACCTTGGGTGCAGGGCACAAATTATATATAGCCAGAATCCTGCAAGGATTTGCAAGACCCCTGTCTTCTAGTTCAGGATCTTGCAAAGGGGTGGCATTCTTACACAAGTTCACCAAATCTCACAAGTTTTTGCACTTTTAAAAACATTTTTGGAAGCCAGAAATGCCTCTTTGTCAACCACTGCTCTAAAATGCTTAATTTCTCTTTCATACCAAATAAAAGACATTCCTCTCTTATCTCTTGAAATGCAAAATTACTTTCTTCTTCTGTACTTTCCGTTTCATCCAGTCTGATTTGGAAGTGTCCTTCCCCTTCCTGCCCCCCAGGTTCTCCTATTTGTACTTCTCACTTCTTAGAATAAATGGTTTCCGTTTGTTTTGCTAATTTATAAATTAAACAGGACATTTTGGGGAAGGTATCAGTAAAAAAAACAGGTGGATAGTGTGAAGTCAGAGTGGGAGGAAAGTGTTGTGGGCTGCATCAGGGAAGTTTGGTTGTGATGCCACGTTTTTTCTGTTTTTAGTTTTATTTTCTTTTTCTACTGTTGGTATATAATGTTTTATTCTTTGATTGTGAGCCACCCAGAGTTTAGTTTTAAGATGGGTGGCCATACAAGTGTAATGAATGAATGAATGAATGAATGAATGAATGAATGAATGAATGAATGAATGAATGAACGAACGAATGAACACCAACAGGCTTGTGATGTGATGAGACTTGAACATTGCATCCCCCGTGCATTTTCTAGATCTAAAACCACTTTGACAACCATTGCTCTGAACATCTTATTCCATTGCTAATTAAATGTTGTTATAACTTTAAATCCCCCTATTGCTATGAATTCACTCACTTTTGCCTTGCCCCCAAACTCTTGTAAACAGGTATTAGGCCAGACAGAACAATACTTGGACCAGGTGTTGCAAAAGGTACTTTCAGTTCTACCTGCTTGGCAAGTACAGATCCAGAAGATGAAGGCTATCTACTTCATCCTCAACCAGTGCAGCTTCAGCATCACTGATAAGTGCCTCATCGGCGAGGTATGGTGCCCTGTCCGTGACCTTCCTGCCGTGCAGCTGGCCCTGCGTGAGGGATCGGTAAGTGCCACTGAATGGCCTCTCTTCTCCTCTTGTCATCCTAATTTTGCACTGCCTGGGATGCTGTGGACCATGAGGCAGAAATGTTTGCTTTTTCTCTGTAACATGCCTTTGTTCCTCTTTGCACACAAGATAGCGGGGCCTAAATAAAAAAAATTAGCTTAGTCTCATAGGTGAACAACCAAGAGCTGTCCCCCCAAAGGTTGCAGGGTTGGTGCCCCTATTCTCAGATGGCTGGAACCTGCCTTCCTCCGGGATACACCATTGTGACCATCATCACCCAAATTGAGTTTTAGTAGGGAGGTATCTCCTCTGAAGATTTTTTTTTTCAAATGCATAATGCTTCAAGCCTTGGGCTTTTAAAGCATGCAGGTACTTCTTTTATGTTTTGGCTACATACTACCAGTACCTGGTAAATTGAGATTGCTACTAGTATGTAATTAATTTGCTTTGTCCCTTCCTGTACAAAGCAGTAATTACATAAAGCATGCTTTTTAAATATAGGCTTCTAGTCCTCATGGGTATGAAGAAATGCTTGGGAATATGTAAATAATCTGTGCTAAAATCTCAGAAGCTAGAGAAAAGGCTGAGTAAGATTTCCAATGGCTGAGAAATGTGGCTTCAGGGTCTTGCACAGCTCCTGGCTCCTCCCTGTCGCTAGCATGCAGCTTTCAGAGTTGTGCCTCTCTGATGCACATTTCGATTCCTTTGATAAGGGATTTCAAACATCCTAAGTAGTCCACAGAGCCCTGGATTGTAAGAGGCAGCACAATGGAAGATGATTAGAGTTTCTAATTCTGGAACATTGTAACCCCAGAAAGCCTTTGATTTCTGAACTTTCAGCACCCACTGCCCTTCATGTTCATGAAGACTATAAACTTAATTTTCCGGAAAGCAACAGCTGAGCAGAGGCCTCGATAAAGAGACAATTACACTTGAATAGTCCGAGGTGTACCTTGCTGGTGTGAGGTCAATGGTGCACTTCGTTTACGGCCCCAGCTGCTTCTGGGATGGGTTGCAGGTTGCCTCTGGGTGAGCACTTGGATGGCTTGCTACTCTGCACTCTAGAAGTTGAGCTGCTGCAAACCTCAGAAAGAGAGAGAGGAGAAAAACCAGCTAACCCCAAGTATGCCTGTTGCCTAAAGTGCCCGTGTGATCCTCTTTTGCTCCTGCAGCAGCGCAGTGGTTCTGGAGTGGAGTCCTTTGTCCACCGGATTGTCTGCACTGAGAGCCCCCCAACTCTCATTCGCACCAATAAATTCACTGCTGGCTTCCAGAACATTGTTGATGCCTATGGGGTGACCAGCTATCAAGAGATGAACCCAGGTGAGGAAATGTGCTGCATTGCTCATCTCTTCCCCTTTGGAAGTTTGGTCTATTGCTCAATACTCTGTTTCCTTACCAATGATGGGGGAGGGTTACAGTAACAGCCATGACATTTCCCCACCTCCAAAGAAGGGATAGCCACGTAGAGAGTAAGAGAGAGAAGAAAGCCAGCTGGAATGAGTGTTGATGTTAGAGAATACATAAGCCAAACAGGAAGGAATATAGGATGATGTGATATGTTGATCAGTAACATTTCTGATCCTTTATGGTTTCAAAAAAACAAGGCAGGGATGGTGACACTTTGGGTTGAGTTAAGCAATTAGCTTTGGGGACTTGCCTTGAGCTTCTCAGCTAATGCCAGCTCTCCTTTGCAGCTCCTTACACCATCATCACTTTCCCTTTCCTCTTTGCCGTCATGTTTGGAGATGTTGGCCATGGACTGTTGATGTTCCTCTTTGCCCTTTGGATGGTCCTGTTTGAGAACAGGCCTGGCCTAAAGAAGGTGGAAAATGAGGTGAGCCCTGGATGGAGAGGGTCTTTCCATGGAGGGTGCACTTTAGGTAGATGGAGAAGGAAGATGACCTACCTCTGCCCTACATCTGATTTAGAACACTTTCATCCATTTTTCCCTTAAGGAACTGAAGATGGTGTCTACCCCTTTTTTAAATCCTCAAAAAGATTTTGTGAGTTAGTTTTGGCTGGCAGGTAGCCTGGCCCCAATTTGTGTCTCTGGCCAGTTGGGAAGTTGAACACTTCCAGACACTAAATATAATATATGAGCTCCTGGGTATATTCCCACCATGCATTGCATACACTTAATGTCGCCTTCCCTTCCCAGATCTGGCAGACATTCTTTGAGGGCCGCTACCTCATCCTCCTAATGGGTGCCTTCTCTGTCTACACCGGTTTCATCTACAATGAGTGCTTCAGCAAGGCAATGACTATCTTCCCATCTGCTTGGAGTGTGGCTGCCATGGCCAACAACTCGGACTGGAGGTACCAAGGGGCCTGTTCTTAAAGCAAGAGCTGCATCGCCTTCTTTCTGCCGTCTCCTTGGGGGACGCCATTGTCAACACCTGCAACTCTCCTTTTCCTTACAGCTTGGAGTATATCACAGAAAGCCTTGCCCTGGACCTGAACCCCAATGTCACTGGCGTCTTTAACGGTCCCTACCCTTTTGGGATAGACCCGGTAAGTTGGGTAGCAACTTGAAACAAATAGTCACGTGGGTTACTCCTGCTTGATGTGTGCTGGATAAAAAGGAACTGGGCATATTTAACCCCGTTGAAGTTTGAGGGTTCCATTATCTTTCAGCTGGCCTAAAATAACTGACTGTGAGGTTTTAGGGAAGTTTCAGTGGGAATTCTCAATGCAATGTGGCCTGCCTTCCTTAGATTATATCCTGCCTTTCCTTCGGGAGCTGAAGGTGGCATACATAGTGCTCCCTCCTAATTTTCCCCATAGCAACAACCCTGTGAGGTAGGTTGGGCCAAAGTCACTCAGTGTAGAGAGTAAGAAAGATGACCTTGACAGAAATATGGAGGAACCATTACCTAGCCAAAAGGGGCTGGAACATTTTTTAAGCCTTGAGAATCAAGATAATATTTGGAAGCAGCTCAGGCAGACTCTGCCCTGATTCACTGGAGCATAAGAAGGGGAGGAGGTACAGCACAGTGAGACATGCAAGACTCTGTTATTATAGCCAATCACAATAAAAGTAGTTTTAGCCTTCCAGGGGAGTTGATTTCCTGGTCTGTTCTACCCAGTGGGGCTGACATCCGTCTTGGAAGTCTCCTAGTCTCTTTCAGAAAAAGGCTGAAGGCCTTGCCTTTGTGGGCAGAGAGGGCCTCAGGGCATTCCACTAACTGCTGAGCACCTTGCAGCAGTGTTGCTCCTGCACTAACATCAGGTGGTTTGTAAATAACTAACTTGCAAAATCAGAGGCACACCCATGGGATCACCAGTGTAAGGACTCATAGCAGAGATTGTAATGCAATGCTTAGAAACTATAGCACTTCCACACATACAACCTAAAGTATGGATCTGGTATGTATATGACACCTTTGTTACAAAAAAAAAGGAACAACAAGAAAAGACACATGAAACTATCAACAACATCTTCAAAGGAATAAAATTCACCAGAGAGGAAGAAAACAAGATGCTACCCTTCCTGGATGTCCTCATTAGCAGAGGAAACAACAGCAGATTCGAAACCCAAGTCTATCGGAAGACAACCCACACCAATCAAGTACACCATTACCAAAGAAACAACCCAACCTCCCATAAGAGGAGCTGTGTAAGAACATTATTCAAGCGAGCACAAACGC